CCCAGGTAGTCTGGCTGGCGTGGGTGGTTCTCTTAGCCATGACTGCTATGTTGCCTCTCAACTTGGGGATGTGGAGCAACTTTGAGGACTCTGAACTCTGAGGCTACTGGGAGGAACAGACTTTGTGACAACTCTGCTCCCTGGGGCTGGACATGGTAATTCTTCCAACTGAGTTATTGGGATAAGACTCAAATGCCCCATTTCTAAGTATCAACTTGGATCTGCATAACCACAATGCCATTGGAAGAGCAGACTGTGGGTTGTGGGTACCATCTAGCTAATAACTTCTCTGTGCCCTCTCCCATAATTCCCTCTCACAAGCACACGCAACTTTCACAATGCCTTTTTAAAAAAAGTATGTATTTCTGATTTTTCTGGATAAATGCTTTTGTATTCTTCAGATTTGGCTTGCTCCTCTTGGCAGGATTCCCCCTTGTCTGTGCCTTTGTGTGTCTCAAGCAGATATTGTGTTTAAAATGCTAAGAGCTTGTATTGACAGCCCAAACAATAAAGTGCTTTGACAGTGAAGTATTTTTAGAAAACATGACTGTCTACAAAATACTGGAGGGCTTCCTGTGGTACTGTATATCGTTGTTAGCTCCAAGGTCTAACAGTGGAGAATCCTTGTGACCCGGGTTCTTTAAAGCTTCACTTAAATTTCAGCATGCTTGCTCCCTCTCAACAGAATTTGTAGAATTAGATGTTTGGCAGAGGCCCCTGAGTCATCTGCTTCCACTCTCTCATCTCCAGCTTGGGTATTATCTGCAGGCCATCAAGTGGCTCACCCCAGAACCTGGCACGTAGTAGGTGGAGATGTCACGATCCATCACTTTCTTCCTCTCCGCCCTCTTCCGGTTTCCCCTCACAAAAGCCCTTTAATAATTTGCCCTGGTTCTGCTGATTTTGACATGTTGCTCTGAAAGTACAGAGATCCCTTTCCCTTTCCCTTGTCACAGAGATCACCATACAGCCCCCACCCAGTCTCGGGGATTCATTTCATTTCCATGTGCCTTATGATTAGAGCGACTACATATCTTATCATCCAAACCAAGACACTTTTGAAAGGGAGAGGGCTCAGTAATTATGCCTGTAGAAAAAGAGGCATGAAACTGGGTTGTCTCAGATCCATCAGGACCTATAGGCACGCTCTTTATGATGTTGTGTGTGGTTCAGAAGTGGCCACATGCTGGCGTAGTTTTGCTTTCTGAGGCTTATCTTCATGGGTATCTAATAATCTCATTGTACACTTAGTCCTTTTGAGAGGACAGGGTTTACTTCTGTGACCTACTCAAGCTAACCAAAGATTAATGGAAGCCACAGGAGTTATAAACAGTCCGAATTGTAGCCCAGCTCTTGACTGTATTTCAAATGCTTGTTCTCCATTTCTCCCATTACCAGAAAGCCAAGCCATTTTAGCTCTATAGGGTACCACTCAGATTATAATTGAGGTTTGAATAAACAACACATGTGGCTTTTAAGGTTAAACGAATATTGTTTGACATACAGTACACTAGAGTTGTTTTTCATTTTGGTTTTAAAAATTGGTTAAAATTACATCTTGTTGCTTCTCAGAATTAACTAGAATCCATCTGTCTCCATTAGAATCACTGGGGGGTTTTTTGTTTGTTTTGTTTTGTTTTAAGTAAAGCCTTGGCTGAAAAAAGAAGCTCCCTCTCACTCAAGATAATTTACCAGTGAATCGGATGGGGGAGGGAGGAAGGGAGGAAGGAAAGGAACAGGTTTTAGAGTATTGGTGCTTGCTTTTTTCTTTTATGCATTTTGTCTCTTAGATATATCTAAAGTGTAGTATCTAAAGTAGTAAATGGATAACTATTATCACCTCTCCAGACAGATTTGGCCCAAGTCTAAGAGAATCACTCACAGCTGAACAAAATGTGAACGTCTGAGAAGATTCTTCCAATTTAACTATGGTTCAAATTACATCGAATGACTCCTTACTTATAGAACATTCCAACTTAGAGAATGCCATTTTGATGATGTCAAAAGCTCAAAAGCAACCAAAATAGTAGTCATTCCTACTTGAGATCTATACAGAAGTAATGACTCCAGTAGTTTTTAATGAGGTGAAATGATTCCGATTGAGGCACACATGCCTGTCTGCAAATGCTTAGGTGTTGCGACATCTTGGTGTTACAGGATATTAATAGTCCACTCCCATGCTTGATCCCGACTTGCCTCCTCATTGTCTTGCTATCTTACCTATCGGCTCACTTAACAGGGACTACTTGCTTCGAGATTCTGCTTGGACGCTAAGTATTTCAAGACACTATCTAAAAGCCCTTTGAAGACTCTAGAGTCTAAATGCAATAAATTGACCTTCTCAGAAGGTCATGCTAAGTAAACATTGCATGCCAGTACCAACCATTAAATCTACATTTGCAAAGAGCATTTGGGGAAGAGAGCTCTTCTCTCATTTTTCTTTTTTTTTATTTTTTAAAGATTTTATTTATTCATGAGAGACAGAGACACAGGCAGAGGGAGAAGCAGGCTCCATGCAGGGAGCCCGATGTGGGACTCGATCCCGAGTCTCCAGGATCATGCCCTGGGTTGAAGGCAGGCGCTAAACCACTGAGCCACCCAGGGATCCCCTCATTTTTCTTTTAAAATTTGTTCTCTTTGGGCTACTTAGATTAGAAAACATATCCTATAGCTTTGACATTCTGTTCTGCCATTTGCTCGTGAATCTCTTCTGGTTTCCAGTCTTCTCTCCGGTCCCACATTTTCATCTGGCTCACGACAAAGCTTAGACCTGCCACTGCCAGTGAAAACAGAACGAGTACATTTAAGTTCATCCCACCTTACTGTCAAGGGCAGTGCCATTTCCCAGCTGGCCATACTTGCAACCCTTAGCATCCTTTTATGTAAAAAATTTTTTTTAAGATTTAATTATTTATTTGAGAGTGAGATCATGAGAGCAGCAGGGAGGGGCTGAGGGAGAAGGAAAGGGAGAATCCTCAAGCAGACTCCCCGACGGACATGGGGCCCGATCCCAGGACCCCAAGATCATGACCTGAACAGAAATCAAGAGTGGGCTGCTTAACTGATGGAGCCCCCCAGGTGCCCTCCGATCCTAACATCCTTTTATACTGTTTTTTCCCTTACCACCATTCGCTGTTAGCAAATATCCCCAAGGGATCTTATCATTTCCTTTTTATCTGGAGTAGTCTGGTTTGTCCCTCCTTCATTGTTTCATTGTTTTAGAGATTCTCAGGACCTGTCACATGTTACTACAACAGCCTCTTGGTTGGCCTCCCAAGATTCCACTTGCTCCCCAGCTAGGTGACACTCAATTGCCAGGCAAAGCTGCCACAAGTCACCTCTTTCTTTTACTGTAGGAACTCTATATAAAAATCAGTAACAGGATAAAATGTGAATTCTTTAGCCTCTTTCTGAAGTCTACACAGCAATTATTTACTACCCTTACTTAAGTCTCCCTCCCCTCTTTCCCCTGTTCCCCTTTCCCTCTTCCTTTCTTCCTCTCCACCATCTCTCTTGTTTCACATCTGAACTTTCTACTACAGCCACAGCCACATCCTGTTGGCTGTTTCCAGTATGTTCCTTACTGTTTCAAAGCTCTGCTCCTTTGCAGTTACTTATGTTAAATCATATCACCGTGATGCCTACTTCTAAAAATATGACTGATTATTTTGGGAAGCTTTCCATGATTCTGTCTTACTGATCACTTACTCCTTCAATCTCTCCCAAGCACCTCTTGACGAATCCTAATTTTTTTCCCCCTGAGATGATCTTTAAATCATGAAGGGCTAAAGTCATAACTTTGTTATATGTCACTGCCAGATAATATTGCTTTCAAAGGAATTTCGAGGTCTTTGGCACATCCTAAAACCCAATGATATTATCTAATTTTCCCTCACAGGACTACCACATCCTTGAACCAGTAACATGTTACTATCTCCATGTGGGCTTTGAAAGCTCGAGGGATAAATTCAAACAGAAAATCCATAAATGCTGATACTTTTTGGTATTTCCTGTTACCCTGCCAAATACATGGTTGAATTGATACTGAGAGTAAGACCAAGCTCTTCCCAGTGACTTGGTTGGTCATAGATAACATGAGGTAAAATCCTTGGAAATGGTCCTGTGGTTAGTGATCTTTAATCAGTAGAGGAATATCACTGTCTGTAGTGTGTTGTTCTCAAGACTAAAAGTCGGATCTTCCTCCTCAAACCAGTTACTCTGGCAGTGAGGCAATGATAAGTAGTTCACTGTTCAAAGAATGGACATACAAACCAGGGGAAGTGATCTCAGGCAAAAAAAAGAGGAGTAAATCTTGGATATCTGTTATGTAAATATTCCAGCCACCAAAAGTCTTACCTTAACTTTCAGACCAGGGCCTAACTTTCCAGAGACATAATGGTGATTTTAACAAATTATAACAGCCCAAATCCTCGAATCTCTTATTTTGTAAGGGTAGTTTAAACACAGGTTAAATATGACCTGCAAAATACTTAACTGTCACTGGATAAGATAAGCAAAAATGAGGCTGACAGCTCTATTACAGTGGAAAGTGATTATTTTGTCTTTTGTTTCCCAAATTTTGTGCAATGTGAATCGATTGGCTCTTTTGAAAAGTGGCAGCTTTCTTCAGAGTTGTTTTGAAAAATGAAGCAGGCCCAGAGAGGAATCTTTCAGGGTCACTTTATGAAGGAGAGCCATTTTTTTTGAGAGAGAGAGAGAGAAGGGAGGGGGCCAGAGAGAATCTTAAGCAGGCTCTGCACCCATCACAGAGCCCAATACAGGGCTCGATCTCATGACCCTGAGATCATGACCTGAGCCGAAATCGAGTCCAACGCCCAACCAGCCAAGCCCCCCAGCACACAGAAGGATAGCCATCTTAACAACAGTTAAAATGTCTGGAGAAATTTGGGATCATAGAATCAAAAATGTTGCTAGGTCACAAGGGTGATGGTTTTCCCTTCTATGTTTGTATGACTCTTTCTTTATTTTGCAATAAACAGGGGATGGAGAATTGTCGTGGGAACATTCTGATGGTGATATCTTCCGGCAACCTGCCAACAGAGAAGCAGTAAGTGTAAATAGCTCAAATAATTCAACACCCCGCAGCACCAGGCCAAACTTTTCTCCTTCCATGGCTGTTATCCTAGGAACTCCATAAAAGGGCCCATTTATAACACCATTTCTCTTTCCCTTGCCTTAGAAAATTAAATATTATCACCAATCTCAAAACATGTAAGTCCACTGTATATTTGGTAACTAGGGCCAGGACACGGGCACAAAAAAAATCACAGCCCCAGCACCTAAGTACCCCTTATCTAGATTGGAAGTTGGTAGCCTTTCAGGCTAGCTTGCCAAATCTTTGCCTTCTGGATGGAAGGCAGGTCACTGCCTCTGTCCTCAATAGTCCTTAACAGAGGAGCTTCTATGGGATTATAAGGTGGATCTGTCCATTCTTTAGGCAGAGGTACTGTGGACATGTCTCCATAAAGCCTCTCCTAAGCCTTAGGCTCTCAGTCATACAGCAGCAAGAGAAAAAAAGGTAGCAGCTACACACTCCTTCCCCACTCTGCAATATCCCATTTCTATGTTCAGTGTATAGCAACAGCATCTCTTGTTCCTGTGTATTTCAAAGTAATTGGCAAAATGCAATCCCTCTCTCCAAAACATATGTCTAAGTACAGCAATACCTTGAACTTCTTAAAATCTGAAAAGGAGATGTTCCAATTCAAAGAATCTCATCATACTGATGGATTATAAAAATATACAAAATGTATGAAGGCATTCATGGTACATAAATGGGTATTGATTGAACCCCTATACAAAAAAGTATACGGGGCATTCAGTGCAACATTATTTTTATAAGAGCAAAGCCAGTGGAAGGAACCCAAACATAAGTAATAGGGGCTTGGTTGAACACACCCAATCTGTGGGACATGGTGCTGTTGTTAAGTAGAATACAAGACATCAAAAGTGTACTCAAGTGGAGGGATCCCCAAGATAAAGATTTTATTTATTTATTTAAAAGACACACAGAGAGAGGCAGAGACATAGACAGAGGGAGAAGCAGGCTCCTCAGAGGGAGCCTGATGCAGGACTCGATCCCAGGACCCTGGGATCATGCCCTGAGCTGAAGGCAGATACTCAACCACTGAGCCACCCAGGTGCCCTGATCCCCAAGATATATTATGTAAACAAACCAAGGTGCAGGGTGCAACTCATACTGTCATTTCCTGTGTGCCTGCACAAATTGAATGCATATAAAAAGATCTGGAAGGTCAGATACCAATAGGTTACGAGTGATAATCTCAGAGGGGTAGAAGCAGCAGGGGGAAAGGGAGAGCGTGATTTTTTTTTATCTTTTCTGTATCATTGGATGTTTTTCAATGAGCGTCAATTTGTTGTGCAGTATATAACGTTTAAATGATTGTTTAAAACCTGTGGAATTAGTTCTCAACAAGCATTGCATAGAAGGCCAGAGTCTAGGGAATTATATGGCAAGCCTGAGGATGGGGAGGGGGGGCAGGTGTGAGGAAAGTGTTGATAGGAATGTAATAAAATAGCCAGTCTAAACATCCCGGCGTTGCTTAGTCCATGTGTCCTGGTTGTCTCATGTGCCACTTCTGACCTGCATATACCCAGCTCACCAGCACACCCTCAGCAGGGAGTTGAAATGATGTCTGCTTTATTCTCTGCTCCTACTATTTTCTAGACCTTGCTGTTTCTGAATGAGTGTGGAAGGATTGTGGGTTGGGGGAATGTGAAGAACAATACTCTGGATATCTCAAAAAAAAAAAAAAAGCAGCATTCCTGCAAGAGAGAATGGTCTTCCCAGTTTCCCAGTGATTCTGGATCCCCAGGATGGGTGAAACAGGAGATGAAGATGAAGGAGGGCACTTGTGATGAGCTCTGGGCATTGTAGGGAAGTGTTGAATCACTATATTGTACACCTGAAACTCATATTGGGCTGAAAGTTCACTAACTGGAACTTTAAAAAAAGTTTAAAAAATTTAAAAAGATTTTCTCCACCTAGCTCTATCTGCTAAGCGTTGAGGCCAGGTTGGTGGTCCTGCTGGTAAGGCCATTAATTTGCCTTTCTTCCTGACTTCATTTTATGCTGCCTCCAGCTCCACCCTTGTCTTGCAGTCTCGTCTGTCCTTCTTCCGAAACTGCCAGTGATGGGACTGAGCTTAATCCCATACTTCCTGTAGCAGAAAGAGGTCAGGTATAGAATGCAGGGCCTTGAAATAGTTATTGATTTTCAAAGGAGTTTGAGACCTATCTTTAGAAACAAACATTGGAGCCCGGTAGAACAAAATGTCCAGATGGTTCCACTTTATTATAAATAAATATTTTCCTTTGTTTTAAAAGGGGGTAGATACTGTGGGATATGATTTGAATAATAAAGAGCATCTGTAGTACTAGAAAAATACGTACCTGGCACACAGTAGGCCCCCAAGAAATTCATTTTGAATGAATGTGTATGGAAGGCAGGGTGAAATGTATGTGAGGGGCTTTTCATGAATGTGAATGTACAGAAATTTGTCCCAAATCAGAGAGAGATGCTTCTAACTTGTTGCTGGCTCTTGACCAGCCAAAAATTAGAAGGTAGGAGAACCCATTCTGAATATCCTTTGCAGGCCTAATGCTCTCTATGGGATCAAGAAATGCAGCACTGGGACACCTGGGTGACTCAATGGTTGAGCAGCTGCTTTTGGCTCAGGACATGATCCTGGGGTTCTGGAATCGGGTCCTGCATTAGGCTCCCCATGGGGAGCCTGCTTCTCCCTCTGCCTATGACTCTGCCTCTCTCTGTGTCTCTCATAAATAAAATCTTAAAAATTAAAAAAAATTTAATGCAGCACTAACAGCACATTGCCAATTCAGTAGACTGTCACTTTAATAGACCATTCATATTTACAGGAAACCATCAAAAAACCTTAGTTTGTCAGAAACACAGAGGATTGCTTTATTTTGCCAAGTGGGCTGAAAACCATCAGTTTACCAAGTTTTATGAAGTCCACAGGAAGGAGAACCTGTCACCAGTGGCTCAATTACAACTCCTTTGTAAAAACCTGAAGTGGTTTCTGTTTGGTTTCTGGATCATAATTTCATATGCACTGGTCCTAACACCATGGGTGTGTGTGTGTGCATGTGTTTCTGTGTGTGTTACAGTGAGGGAGAAGTAGACACAGGTCATAAAGCCAAAACATGAAAGCAAGCCGAATTTTGTTTTGGACAACGGCCAAACTCTGACTTTGCCCCCAATAGATTACTCAGAGATTTACCATTAGAAAAGGGAAAGATTTAGCGATAGAAACAATATGAAACAGATAGAAATCCATGTCTCACTCACATCGTCAGAACAATGGTTTGGGAAGGAAACTGGCCCAAGGGTCTCTCAGGTGGGGATGGTCCTAGAGTGCCAGTGATGAAGATATAATGTGCTCATGGCTGTGTGAATCATGACACATTCTGAAGACATTTTTAAAGAGTTACTTATGACAGACAGCACAAGGTGGGGGTGGCAGGGGCAGAGGGAGAGGGAGAAGCAGACTCTCTGCTGAGCAGGAAGCCCAAAGCAGGGCTCGATCACAGGACCCTGGGATCATGACTTAAGCCTGAGCTGAAGGCAGACTCATAATCTACTGAGCCACCTGGATGCCCCGAAGACCTTTTTTTAAAATTAAACTTTTTATTTTATGGTAACTTTAGATTCATAGCCCTGAAGGCCCTTTGAAGGCTTTTCCTGAACTGTCCTATTTTCCTATCTCTGCCAATAAAACCCTCCCATCTTAGATCTAGGACAAGTAAGGAAAAAGTTCCTGGGGAACTTTCTGTAATGGGATTTTCCACCACCAGAAAAGAAGTGTGTGAGAACTACTTCAAAAGCCTGAGATAGAGGTACCTGGCTGGTTGGTAGAGCTCAGTCAGTGGAGCATGTGACTCTTGATCTCTGGGTTGTGAGTTTGAGCCTTGTGTTGGGTATAGAAATTACTTCAATCAATCAATCAATCAATCAGTCAATCAATCTTTTAAAAAAATGCCTGAGAGAGTTACCAGCACTGAAGTCAGGAAATCAAATAATACCAAAATATTGAACAGAATAAAACAAAGCATAGGTATATGGCCATTTCTACCTTGACCTGCTCTCTCAAAGCCAGATCTTCACAGCTGGGTTTGAAGATAAGCTCCAGTTTCACTTAGAACTCCAAGGCCTTAATGTCTTTTTTCTCCCTTGCATTAAGTTACAAGGTCAGAATGGTCCCTGGTAAGCCTCTTTCATTCCTTTGTTTAGGGGAGCAACTCTAAAAGAGCCATTACCCTTAAATCAAAAACCCCCACCCCCAGGTTGTGAACACTGTATTTTAGCAGACTTTTTTTCTTTTTAAGATTTATTGATTTATTTGGGTGGGAGAGGGCAGGGACAGCGGGAGAGAATCTCAAGCAGACTCCCCACTGAGCACAGAGACCGACATGGGGCTCAATCTCACAACCCTGAGTTCATGATGAGAGCTGAAACCAAGAGTTGGATACTTTACCCGACTACACCCCCCAGGCACCTCTCTCTTAGCAGACTTTGATATTTTCTTCGGAGCAGCTTTTAGCCAACCATCTGCAGGCCGCTGAACTTGACCACAACATTCCCTCTCCCACTTTCTCTTTCCTTTCTTCCTGTCTTCTCCCCCAATCCTCACTCTCCTGCCATCTCCAAAAACTCAATCTTCACTGTCACCCTGAATAAAAAACCCACTCCTCTCTGGCCTCAGTTTCTCCATCTGTAAAATGAAAGACTTGAATAGGGGGATGTTCTGGAGAGCTAATCAAAATCCTTAAGGTTTTTTGTGTTGTGTTTTTTGTGTTTTTTTTTTAATTTGTTTTGTTTTGTTTTTTGGTTTTGAATCTCTTTTTTTTTTTCTGCCCTTACCCAATGTCCAGGGTCTGAGTGCCTGGTACCGAAGAACAGCTTTTCACTTTGTTTTCACCCTCATGAATCAGAGTACTTCTTGTACTTGCAGCTCATTTTTGGGTCAGCGACCTTTTCTCTCTCAAGTTCTAGCCCCGGTGAACTCCCTTCCTTCAGCATCATTGGTAGGACACCCACCAGCCAAACTGTCCTCTCTGTGTTCCTTTGGCAAAACTTTGCTAAACTCCAGAAAGGACAGAACAATCTGTAACGGTCTTGGTGGAATGTGAGTGAAAAAGACACATGAGCCATTGTGGGAATGAAAAATATTTGCACTAAGAATCCCATCTGTGTACATGATAATCAATTGATGCAAATTCTTATTTGTGTGAGATTTCATAGCAATGCACCAGCATGGACTCTTCCTAGATTGACAGAATTATGTTCTCTTTCTCTTACGCCAGCTCCTGTTCTCTCCCCCCTTCTCCCACCAGTGCCTCCCTCCACAAGAGAGTAATAATAATTCCCAAAGCTACATTTGCGACATGTGTGTCTATAGGACATAACTGTAATACATGTTTTCTGGGATGGTGGGGTCAGAGGATCTTATAACTACCTTCTCAAGGCCCCTTGCCATTTCTAACACTGAATATAAGCATCTTTCTAATTGCCTGTGGAAGATTTTTAGTGGGTCTCCTGTCCCACTAGTGTTACCCCTAACACTTGCCCCTAAAACAAAATGTTATATGGTTTTTCGCTTGAGGGTCCAGTCTTCATCCATTCCATCCTCCTCTGCCTTCATGCTCCCTTAGCTCCTGGGAAAGGGGTGGGTAGCAGAGTAGTGGGCTCATCATGTGTTGAACCCTCGCTAAGAGAGCAATGGTTGCATCATTTGGACTATAAGATTTTCAGCTTTCATTAGGGACCATGGCATTCATTCATTCATTCAGCAAGTGTTTAATGAGCCCCTTCTAAATGCTGGACACTGTTTGGGGCCCTGGAGATGTAGCAGTGAGCAAAACAAAGTTCTCACCTCTGGCTCACATCCTGGTACTGTCATATACCGTCAATTCTACAACATGTCTAGGGTATCTCTACTCTGCCGTGTAATCTCATGCCATTGGCTGCATTTAGTGTCAGTGCATCTAATCTGGACTATCCTAGGGTCCCATCTCTTCCTCCTGCTCAGTTTACCCTATACATGATCTGGAATCAATGCTTGGAAACACAATTCTGAGGATTTCCCTACCTTAAAAAAATCCCATAAAGGCTCCCACACCATCACCTCTGTTGCCTACCACATAAAGTCTTCACCCCTTCGCCTGTCATGTAAAGTCCTCCCTGATCTGGCTGCAGCCCACATTTTGGAATGTTATCCTTCAACTGTTCCCTCTTATGGACTCTATGTTCTCTGCTACACCTTCTCAACTTGGAATCACTTCCTGGAATATTCCTCACCAGCTCTGCCTGCAAAAAGTCTGTCCAGCCTTCATGGTCCAGGTCACAAACCGTCCCCAACCAGTTCTCTTTCTCTTCCTACTTTGCACAGCAATTCCTACTTCTGTGGCCTGTGTCCCATTCTGCCCTTGTGTTGCAGGCTGCTACTTTAATTCTTACGTATGAGATTCTCGGGAGCGGGAAGGACATTTTATTGACCGTTCTTTGGCTCTTTGCTCCCTCTGAGGTTTGTCTATGAAGCTAGCCCAGTCTTCTGCAAGAAGAGAGGGAAATCTCAGTCCGTTCTCAAGGCTGCTCTTATTTCACATACCTGTGTTGCTACCAGTGTGGGTGGATGTGTAGTTCATTTAAGATCAGAGCTAAGCTCATTGCTAGAAGTCATCAGATGGACTCTAGCTGTGTATAAGTCCATTCCTGCCTTCCCTCTGGCAGATTTGGGGAGCTGAATGTGCCCTGTCATTTTACAGAGACATTCTTACCACCGTTCCCACTATGACCCTCCACCAAGCCGACAGGCTGGAGGTCTGCCCCGCTTTCCTGGGGCCAGAAGTCACCGAGGAGCTCTTATGGATTCCCAGCAAGCGTCGGGCACCATTGTGCAGATTGTCATCAACAACAAACACAAGCATGGCCAAGGTAAGGAGCACGCTCCTTTTATACCACATCCACAGCAGTTCTACCACAGCGCACCCCCTCCCCTGCCCCGTATTTGGAGGGCTGGACCTGGAAAGGGCCTTGTCTCCCATGCATATCAGAAAGTTACACAAGCATCACTTACCATCAAGCCTCAAAGCGAGTCTGTCTTTATTTAGGACAAAAGGCAAAAAAGCAGGGAACTAATGCAGTGCCCAGCGTTTTCTCAGTTGCCCTAGGGGGTCGCAGGGCACTGGGGGAAAGTGTGTTGGATTGGATTGGCTGGTTAATAGAATGAGAGGTTGGTTGTTTTTCCAGTTGGGCACTTGATATTCACAGATACTCAGTGCCAGATGCTTCTGAAGCTCTTAACCCTGTGCCTTAGAAGCAGTAATTCTCATACCTCTCTGTGCCCAGGATTCTCCCCCGGCCTCTTGCTAAAGAGACATATTCTGGGCCCTAGGCTCAGAGATTCTAATTCATATGAGGAGATTGTCATTAGAAATGAGTAATCCAGTAAGAAATCCAGAAACATCCTGGCCAAGCACCAGGAGAACTGACATTAGGTTAACAGGGACACGCAGCCCACTCAGCCGACCAGGTGGCTGCAGCAGGCACCCACACACGTCCGTGGCCCAGACCTTCCTGAGCCTAGTTCCCCAGTCTCCACTTCCACCCCAGTAGTGGAGGTAGGGGGAGGAGAAATTCAATCAAACAATTGACTGCTTCTTACTTTTTTAGGCTCTTTAGAGCAAGAGCTCAGCTGGTTCCTTTTTATGAAACCACAAACATGTTTGGTTTCCTTTAAAGGAGAAACAAATCAAAGCTGGTTCTCTGAACGGGTTAAAAGTAATAAATTATTAAACCAAATGATTGAATAACACGGGTGAAAACCAATCCGTTACAAAGAATCCCTACTATAAATCTCAACAAAGCTGGTCAAACCAAAGCTAGTTGATCACATCTGTTATGAGTTAGATGTAAATTTCAGATTACAGATAAAAAACATTGAATCGCTTTGGAAACTAACAGGCTTAAAAGAAGAACATGCAAAATAAAACTCTTAATAAAAAATGGTGATGTATTAGAAGAATTGGAAGTATTTATTATCGATCTGGGTTTGATTTGAAGTGTATTATTTTTAAATTCTGAGGCATTCTGATACAAATTTATGAAATGCAGAGGAGTAGGAGGTAAAGATGCAGTTTGATTTTCAATCCTAAATTGCCTCCAGTAGATTCCATTTGCCCTGAAAATATTTCAAAGCCTTAAAAAAAAAACCTGTGGGCAAATGGACTTTGAAAATCCTAAATCCCATAATTTCCAGAGGCCTCTTCATTTCAGGGCAAAGGCTCATCCCTTGATTTTTTGTGTGTCCTACAAAAGGCCCAGCTGGTTTACATTTTTTTATTGCTCCCATTGATTTGGATGCAGTGGTTCTTTCCTGGCCTATTATAGGTTACTGGAGAATCACTTGCCCCCACTCCCAACCCTCAGTGCCCCAGCTGGATGATTCAAAACCATCTCAAGAGTTTGTTGGTGGGGAGAAGCCATCCTTTCCCACTAGAGCATTGACCTCCAACTCTTAAATCGCAGAGTGTAGGCTCTCACCCAGTCGAGATTGTTCCCTTAGCCCAAATGTTTAGAGGAGAGTGATCCTGGCTATATAACACTGGAGGTCCTACCTGCCCTTCTCCATAGCTTTCGTGTTAACAGACATGCTCCACTGAGACACATCTGCTTGGTCCCTTGCTTGAGTCAAAGAGAAGTGATAGGACTCTGCCATTTTGAACTTGACCCCTGCCTAAATTTGCTTGAAGCAGACTAGGTACCCACTTGGTCACATGGTCTAGAAGGGAGTGTCACTATCTTTGGAGGAGGAGAAGGGGTAGGGGCAGGAGAGAGAACACATCTGGCCTGTCTTGTCACGTGATTCCACCCATGGCCCTGAGCCTCAAAGTCCACGTGTCAAGTCCCTGTTCTAGCTCCCTGTATGGTTGGGAGCTTCACTGGTTTAGGTTCTTGGTTCTTGGAAATCTTTGCATGGATTGACCTGTGAGAGCACCTAGTACTCTAGCAGTACTTGCAAAGGACAGGAAAAGGCAGCCGACATCATCCATATTTCCAAATGGGACCCAGTGGACTTGATGAGAAAGAACTAGCCCAATGATTCATCATTCTGAGGCCATTGTCTCACAGCCAGATCAGTTCCTAGAAACGCCCCAAGTGGGGCTGTTTCTCCCACCCTAGCCCTGCCTTAAGTGATACAACCCACCCTAGAGACGTTGTTGATCAGGATGCTGACAGGTCTCTCTGGGTATGATGAGGTGATGGGAATAATGAGAAACACACCCAGTCCCAGCCATGGCTTAAAATCTCCAGAATGTCTCAGCACTTTCAAAAAGGGAGAGAACTTATTCTCAGCCCTCCCCATTTGCAGCCCAATATAGTTCTTATCCTGGAGCCTAGCCCCATGCCTTACAGTGGGAGCTGGATATGTTTTGGTTGGTTTGCATTGGCAGATGTTCCTATGGCCCCTTCCCTTCATAGGCCTCTTTGCCTGCAGCTCTTAGGATACTTGCTCTTGCAAGGCCCCTTAGAAAACATGGCACCAGTGACTTCACCTCCCACCCAACGAATGCGAGACCACCAAAGTCTACCTGTAGGACAGGTAGTGATTCACTGTAGTGGAATCTATAGCCACTGAGGTGGGCAACAGAGGATATTGCCTGGAGATTAGAGGCATGAAAGGCTTCTTCATGATCCTTTCCCTCTTGATCCCATTTTAGTGACTTCCTTCCCATGCCAGACAGAAGGCCATCTCCATTAACTCCATATCCATCTGTGTTGGTGGATCAGATTCTCATAACATTTGATATTTTGAAAGGATTTGCTTCAGGATCTGCAAATACTGGCCCTTTGGGAAGAGCAATAGTTTCTGCAACTGGCCTCCCTGGCAGCCAATATCTCTGGGAAATTTTTATACCAAGAAGCATATCCACTTGGGCCATACAGATCTTTTATGAAATTGCAGGTATTGACACTAAATTCTACTAGAGGTTCCTTTGCAGATAACCAGGGCAGATGGAATTCTGTTTTCATGCATTGTTTCATTCCTCCACTTTCAGAGCATTTAGTGACTGCTCACCATGTGCTGGGCGCTTATGAGCACCCAGAGGCTGCTCCTGAAGGACCTGAATGGTTGCTAATGATAAAACAGGAACTGAGCTGGGTTTTTTTGTTTTGTGGGGAGGTTGTTTTTGTGTTTGTTTTTGGTTACAGAGGCTGCTCTGTAAACATACATCCACAGCCATGAAAAGGACAAAGGATGCTTGATGTCTTGAGGGGTTCAGGGCTTACATTCTGAGCACAGGGGCCCATTTCAGCTCCCTAGCCTTTAATTTCCAGTCCTATGTTCTCTTCCAGTGTGTGTTTCCAATGGAAAGACCTACTCCCACGGCGAATCCTGGCACCCAAACCTCCGGGCATTTGGCATCGTGGAGTGTGTGCTGTGCACTTGTAATGTCACCAAGCAAGAGTGTAAGAAAATCCACTGCCCCAATCGATACCCCTGCAAGTATCCTCAAAAAATAGATGGAAAATGCTGCAAGGTGTGTCCAGGTAAAAAGGCAAAAGGTGCGTTGGTTGGAAGCCCTGCCTTTGGTTGACTGAGATCCCCACAGAGTCCTTCTCAGTATTCATTAAGCATCAGAAACCTAATCAACCTGACACATCATCTCAATGTTACTAGTTCTAACAATGAACTTCATTCCCCCCCTCTTTTGAAGGGCTGATAAGATGGTTGCTTAGAAGAAATTTACTACTCAGAAATAGACTGGGAGGGGTGCCTATGTCTGCTAAACTTTTGGCCCCATGTAGCCCTAAGCGCCAGACTTAAGCCTGGCTTTTCTAAATTGCAGAGAAATTGGGTTATGAGGATTATACAGAAGAGCAGTAGCACCTGTCATTGATGTCACTATCTAACTGATCAAGCACAATCACATCCGTGACCCTTTTGAGACAAGATGGGAGGCAGGTGAGGTAGAGTGGAAGGAGAGTGGGTTCTGGGCCTGAGTGAAGTTGTTGTGTGACCTTGGAAATGTGACAGATCTGCTCTGGCCTCCATCAGCTTTTCCTTAAAATGGTATGCTTAGAACAATTAATCTCCAAGCACCCGTCCTAACACTACAGTTTTATAATGATACTATTATTGCTCTATAAAAGTTAAAACTGAAGCATATTGAGTGACCTGCCCTGAGTCCACAAATCGATAATAAAATCAAGGTTTGGATGTCAGGTCACCTACAGCCCATTGTCTTTTCCAGGGCAGTAGAAGATATGAACTGATAACAAAAAAAGCAAGTGGATTAAATAGTGGTTTTAACGCATACGAAATAGATAAAAACATAGTCTGTAGTGTTGGAGTTGACAGCATAGGGAATTGGTGATCCAGCATTCTAATCCTGGCTCTGCCACTGGTTTCCTGTGTGACGTAGAAAAAGTCACTGCACCTCTCTGAGCTTCAATTTCCTTATCTGCAAAATGAGAGGGTTAGAGTGGATGATTTCTTAGGGTCTTTCCAGCTCCCAGCATTCTAGGAGTCAATGAATTCCATGTACATGAATTAATCTATCATTTATTATGCCTACCTGCATTTTTGTAAACACATGTGAAAAACCAAAAACTTTTTCAAGGTAGGCAGAGCGCTAAATCGTATATTCCTTCAACTTAGGCAATTCCTTATGATCAGCAGGCCAACATGAACTTAGTCAATGCATATTTTTTTGAGCATATTCATGTAGGCCAGTCATTCCCAAAATTGTATGCACATTGGAACCCCCAGGAAAGCTTCTAAAAATACCTGTGTCTCATTCCCAGAGATTATGATTTCATTGATTTCAGGTGTGGGCTGGGAGGGAGCCCTTGAAAACATCCCCAGGTGATCCTAATGTGCAGACAGGTTTGGGAAGTTCTGACATAGGTAGTTTATGGCCTTGCTCAAGATTTGGTTTGTGGACCAGAAGAACTTGGAAGCTAGTGAGAAATGCAGACTCAGGTCCCACCCCAAACCGACTGCACCAGAAATCAGCATTTTAACAAGATCCCCCAGTTGATCCCCATGCACATTAAAGTATGAGATCTATTTGTGGCACAAACAAAATCTTTCTTAGTGGAATGGCCCTCATCTTCCACAGTAAACAGTGGGTAAGATGTAGATAGGGAAGACAGGACCTATCTGATCTGGAGTAGAGAATTGGGGCACTAGATCTGATGAGGAACTATACTCATTAGGGGTAGGGAGAGAGTACAGTCTGAGCATGATACAGACATGAGGGCTACCAAGCCATAGTAACCTATCACGACCTCCAAGTGTGCAGTCTTACTGGATCCTCAAACCTTTTAGTGCCCCTTAGGAGTAATTCCACCAACACAGTTTTCTCTTTGGTCAAGAGTGGAACATCTACAGTCATATAAGTAATACAGCATGATAATTTCAGACAAAAGCTAATCATTATCTAAACTACCACAGGGAAGGTAAATCCTGCCCACTATACAGTACTGCAATTTCGACCTCAGACCTTCAGACCAAATCCCATTTCATTGTATGCTTAGGACTTTAGGGATGCGGGTGATTCAAACAAGAAGTGAACACATCAACTGAATATAGAAAAAGAATTGTTAAATAAATACTGTTCTGTATACTACGACCAGCAAAAATCATTGTAGGCCAAGATTTAATTGCATGGAAAGATGTTTGTGACATATCTGATAAGTACAAAGAGCATGCTACAAAACAATATTATGATTCCACTTGCGTTAAAAAAGCAAGCCTGTATAATACACTTAGACAAAAAAAAAGGCTGGAAGGGCATATCACAGACTGTTAACAGTAGCTGTCTTTGGGTGATTAAAGTTCTCATTTTCTTCTTTTGGTTTATCCATATTTTCCAAAATTTTCGACAATGTCTATTACCTTTGTAGGTAGAAGAATAAGTTATTATTTTAAAAACTGCCCTTCAGAATCCCAATCCACAATATGTCAAAGAGTCTGGTTGACCCAACCTTTCTCTCTAGAAGAGCTACTTTCCCACCCTGCTCAGGGGGTAGAGATAGATACAGGACTTAGAGAGCAACATGGAAAGTGAGAATCTCTGTCCCATTCTGTGTGCCTGTCTCTCAGTGAGCCAGGCAGGAGTGTCGGCAAACTGAGTGACACCTGATAGTCACATTGCCTAATGGAGTCATTATCCACAGATGCCAGGGCACCTGCTCCAGCTACTCAGAAACCTCAGAGCATTAGGGAACATGCACTCACTTGTGCCTTCAATCTGAAGATACATATGTGCCTACTATCTGCAAGTAGAGAGAGACGAACAAGCCAGACAAAGGCCCTTTGCCAGCCTGATTCTTACATCCTATAGGGAAAAGAAAGACAATGAACACAAACAAGGTGATTTTACATTGTGATGGGTACTGTGAAACAGACCAAGCAGGATCAGGTAACAGTAAATGGGGGTGGGTGGTGACAATGAATGGCACTTTCTTTTAAAAATATATATATTTTTTTATTTATTTATTTGAGAGAGAGAGACAGTGAGCCAGCACAGGTGGGGGAGAAGCAGAGGGAGAGGGAAAAGCAGACTCCCTGCTGAACAGGGAGCCCGACGTGGGGCTTGATCCCAGGACCCCGAGATCACGCCCAACCAACTGAGCCACCCAGATGTCTCTGAATGGCACTTTCAAAAGAATGGTCAGGGGAGGCTTCTCTGAAAAAGGGATACTTGACTAAAGTCCCGAGCAGTATAAGGAACGAGAAAGGGAAGGATCACAACATCACCAGCCTCTTAGAAAACAACACATGACAGAGAAAAGGGGACAAAGAGTGAAGAGGGAGGAAGATAGATGGAAAAAAGAACAGTAAAGTCAGTTATTTGTGTTGAGAAGGGAAAAGACAGAAATAGAATTCACTGATGACCCATCCAAAAGCTTCATTATAACAAATGATCACGGGCTCCTCCAGTCACAAGCAAAGGCCAAAATAAAGGATGTGAGTTTTTTTCTCTTTTGCCCTTGCTCTGGTAGAGGCCAGCCTGGCGTTGCACAGCAGTGGTCACCTACAGTGTTGTGTAGGACTTCTACTCCTTGAAGGCTCTCCAACTTCTCTCCCGCCCTCACTACACCTCCCTGATGTCTGGAATACCCAAAATTACACACTTCTTTTGGTTTATAGCAGAAAACACCTCTTTGAGACTTAAAAGTTACCTAGGTGGGGATAATACATCGCCAGTCCTCTCCACTTCCATAAGGAAATGCTTTCTCAGTTTCTTAGTTCTGGAGTGCTTGGAATACAAGCATTCTTCAGGGAAGCGGAAATGGATGGAAATGACTTGAGACATAGCAGGCTTCCTTGGAAGGAAATGAAACGAGGTGAACATGAAGCAATTAGAAAATACATTGAAGTGAAGGGTGTGGAATGAGGAGGATGTTGCCCACTGGGTAGCTTGAAAGACACATTTGGTTTACTCAATATTTTCAAATGCCAACTAAGGTTGAGTCACTGATGGGGTTTCTTGTTTGTAGAGCCCTTCTCCTGAACAAACTAAGCTCTTGGTGGGGTGTGTAAGATGACTCTTCAGGACACTGGGACAACTTTCAGTACATTATGGGTATTTACAGTGCCATCAAGGATATCACTTAGCAGTTATAGCTGTAGCCAATATTAAGCTGGTGCAAAACTTTTTTTTAAGGTTTTATTTATTTATTTGAGAGAGAGCACATGAGCGCAGGGAAGGAGCAGAGGGAGAGGGACAAGCAGACTCCATGCTGAACGCAGAGCCTGATGCCGTGCTCTATCCCATGACCCTGAGATCAAGACCTGAGCCAAAATCAAGAGTCAGATGCTCAACCGACTGAGCCACCTAAGCACCCCGTGGTGTAAAAAAATTAAAAACTGAACTCAGCTCTCATTCTTTTTTTTATGATAGTCACAAAGAGGAGAGAGAGAGAGAGAGGGGGCAAAGACACAGGCAGAGGGAGAAGCAGGCTCCATGCACCGGGAGCCTGACGTGGGATTCGATCCCGGGTCTCCAGGATCGCGCCTTGAGCCAAAGGCAGGTGCTAAACCGCTGCGCCACCCAGGGATCCCCTCAGCGCTCATTCTAAGTGTGATACATACATAGAGGTCCCTGTATACCCAGAAACCCACTTCTCCCACGTTATGAGAAGTCCCAGCACACATCCCTTAATTACCTAACACATCAAAAAAGGCTGGCCCATTGAGCAATTAAATAATTAAAAAGGACAAAAGGAGAAAGGAAGCTTGGCTCTAGGATGACCTGCAAACGGAGTAGTCCAACTTGAAATCATCAAGAGAAGACTGATTTTGTCCTAAACACTGCCAGAATACTGGTGAGGGTGGGAAAGCTAATCAGGTCAGTGAGAGATGCACGATAGCAATTTGATTCCAGCGTCTGGTTCAAATGCATCCAATTGGCTATTAACAAGTCTCCCTAATTGAAGTCACAGATCCAAAGCACCCAGCTCTCAGTGGTTTCCTCAGATAATCTTACAGGTGACTTCTGCATATACTCAAAGTTTTCAGGCTGTCCATGGCTTCTCTTTGTTGTTCTGACTTGAGTATACTTTAAAGACACAGCTGAAGAGGGTGCTGACCATGAAGCCAGCAAGGAAATTGAACTCATGGATAATCCAACTAGGAGAGAAACTTTTTATTTTTGGTTGGGGGCTGAGGAAAGAGGAGGGTGGAGCGGAATGGGAAGGATGAGGGGGCTGGTATCTTTATGCCTGGAAGCTGATATACAGCAGTTTAGTTTATACTTTAAATGATCCATAGTTGAGGGATTTGACCAGTCTTTGTGCGTGTGTGTGTGTGTGTGTGTGTCCCAACCATTCATTTGGCATAGCATACATATGACTAATCTGACATCTAGGTTTTGGCACTGGTGTTGATCTGGTATTATCTTTCCCCTTACAAACAAATCAAAGAGCATTCACAAATGTCAAGCCAATTTGAATAGATCCTTTGGGCAAGTATATGCACATAAATGAGTGTCATAAATGTTTTCTAAGTATACCTAAGTGATGTCAGGGAAGTTAACCAAAGCGCTCTGTCAGCCCATTCCCTGGGTCTCTGTTGGTAACACCGAGCTAAACAGACCATGACCTGGACCCAGCATGGAAAATCCTATATACCCTGAAATGCCTAAGAGATTTGTACCTGGCCACATTCTTCCTCCTCATGAAGGCCTACTCCTCTGTGGCGGGCAGGGGAGCAGCGTCAGGGGGTGGATCCAGTACACTTTGTGGGTCAGTGTTCTGCAGAGCTCTGGATTCTGTCACCATATGGCCTTAAATGGAAGGTCATGTGTTCCTTTGTGATTTGGTGGCTGTTACAGGGTGGCCTAAACTGAGCCAAGGAAATATAGGTAGGATTTCTATCCCCATGAGAATGCTCTTGTTGACTGTCCACGTTTGACAAGTGCCAGGTGTTCCAAACAACGAGATACCTGAATGCAGATGTTTGCTTCTAGTTTTGGAAAGCCATTGTGAACCTCTGCTTGCTTCCTGATTTCAGAAGAACTTCCAGGCCAAAACTTTGACAGCAAGGGCTACTTTTGTGGAGAAGAAACGATGCCCGTGTATGAGTCTGTGTTCATGGAGGATGGGGAGACCACCAGAAAAATAGCCCTGGAGACAGAGAGACCACCTCAGGTAGAGGTCCACGTTTGGACCATTCGAAAAGGTGAGCAAGGCAATATTAATTCCTTGTCATTTTTTGTAAGGGGTTGGAGGAACAGGAAAAGAGGGGAAGACTTACCTTGATTTTTGCTTCAAACTATTCTTCTGTTTGGCTCAGTTCTCCTGATTGCTCAGTAACTAACACATGACTAACACGTTTGTGATTATGACCTTTCGTTTCAACTAGGACCTGTCCAAAAAGTAAAGTATCGACCCTTGGGGTTTATTGTCTTTCTCATACCAACAAAGGCTGGAGGAGTCTTCCTCCTCTCGGAGTGCACATCGGAATCTTCTGGGAGAGGTTTTTGTAAATACCAAATGCCTGAGCCCTATCCCCAGAGATGCCAATTGATCAGCCAGGAATGGGGCCTTGGCATAAGCATTTGTTCATAAGGCTCCACAGGTGATTCTAATGTGTAGCTAAGATCACAACCTACCAGACTATAGCCTACCATTCTTTCCGACATGAAGCTCAACCAACACGAAAATCCATTCATGTGGTGCGAGGCTAATCTCTCAAAGCATGCTGTGTTCTCTGGAGTAAAACACATTGAAAACATCATCCCCACCCTCAAGAAGATTTAGTCTCACCAAAGGGACAATCCCAGTCTTTATGTCCCTCCAATTCCTTTTCTGCTTACTCAGCTGACTGTCATAGCAAGCTCTTCAAACCATCCCACAGACATGAGGCTAGTGTTGATCTAGTCTGGTCAAGTTTTCTAGAAATCTAAGAGGTAAGATTTCAGTTGGGAAATAAAGCACATCCTTTTTCTCCTGGCTTCTGCATAAGGCTTGAGAGTGCTCAAACTTTAGTGTGCTTTGACATCATACAAGGGAGCTAGTTTACAACATGTTCACCTGGCCCCATCCAAGAGCTGTGAATTCAGTAGGCCTTGGGTAGTGCCCCCAACATGTCACAAACAGCCAGTGATTCTAATTCAGGTGGCACTTGGACCATACTTTGAGCAACAACTGCTCGAGTGTTAGTAGGGCTTCTTTGGCTCCCTTTCCCCAACTTTTCTTACCCAAAAGAGCGAGTTCCTCCACACCCCTTAAAAATATGCTAGAATGCACCTATGTTTCTCATCCGTGTTTATTTTTGCTCTATACCTAGGAATGTTGGTTTTCTGTCTCTGATTCCCTAGCTCCTCTGTAACTGGTCACCTAGGACTACTAAGCCCTCTTCTCTTGGCTTCCCTAGCAATGGACCTGGTATTTTTTGCTTCACATCGCTCACCCCCTTGAAGCATGCGGGTGTCTTTCAGCTTGCTAGCATAGCATCTATATGACCTCTTGTTCAGTGTTTGGCTAGCAGAGAAAAATCCAGGCTTCAGTTATGTTGCGCTCTCTAGACATAAGGATGAAGTAGGCTGGTAGCTTGTTGCTCCTTAACTGCAAGGCCATTTTTCCAGCTTGTGTGTTACGCCGATAAAAGCTTTTCAGGCAAAGTTGAGACCAGGTGCCCTCCTCCCTCCCCCCTTATTTTAACTTTCCCCATTTTCTGTAAGGGAACACTGAAGGAGCTGTGAATATTTCCCAAAGGGAAATACGCTTTTCAGTGAATTTGGGAACAGGGATGGCTTCTCCATTTACACAAACAACCTGTCTGCAGTTCCACTGCTGGCTCTCACTGCTGGCCAGAAGGGCAGCCCAGTGGTTGGCAAGAACATCATCTACCTGGACTTGGGGTGAGGGCAGAATTTCCAATCCTGCCTTTGGCTCTAGAAGCTCCCACCAGCACCCATGCTCGATTCTGTGTGGCTCTCCCCAGGAGGGGGATCCCATGGTCAGCAACACTATCTTCCATATCTCTATCCTCCGGAGAACCAGAGGGGGAGGCCAATGAGCCAAGGTAACAGATGGAGTCAATTATAACCCTGGAGTCATCCAAGTTCCTGGTTAAGCACATTACACAGCCTAGCTCGATGCTCCTAAGCCCCTGTAATGAGATGATATGCTCAACCCAAGCAGAAAAAGGGGGGGGTGGTTCTAGTTAGAGAGGGCCTGACCACCTGCCGCACTTTTCACTTGGCCCCAGGCATCCTCCAGCACTTCCATATTGAGAAGATCTCCAAAAGGATGTTTGAGGAACTCCATCACTTCAAGCTGGTGACCAGAACAACCCTGAGTAAGTGGTACCTGCCTTTCTTTACTCCTCCCCAGAAAATGCCTCCAGCCTTCGATGTAGTTTAGCCCTAAAGAAAGTCCCTTTGCCTTCTCCACTAATGTTCTCTCTCTTCTCTGGAGGACCCTAGCAGCAGAGGGGGTGTCTGAACGTGAACTGAAAAGCTTAGACCTGGGGAATACAAATCCAGATGCAGTCTGAGCATAAGCTACCTCGAGTCAAGGTTCCCCTGATTATCTTTAATGAAAACTGTTAACCCTAGAGTCTCAAAAGGATCAGAGAAAGTTCACAGGATTCCTGGTTTGGTAACATTTGTAGAGACTTCACATCCAGAAGGCTACATCCTTCTGTGGTGGGGATAAGAGACAGAAATTGAACGCATCCCAATTCGTCAAAGCTCTGGTCGACTCTTTGGAACTGCCTCCTGAGTGGTCATGTTTCTCTAAAAGCATCGGCCACTCAAGCATACATACAGGGATCCCTCTTTCTACACAGGATGCAGCCTAAGGACTAGATACTTCTAGGCCCTGGGGGGTGGGGAGCACTTGTGAAGGAATACAAGGCCCAGAATTTCTATCCACGGGGATTGCCAGTGGGCAAGAAAGAACACGAAGATGCCTTCTCTATGAATCAATCTAGGTCGGAAGAGTTAAATACCTAAGCACTCAGAGGAAATCTGCAAGGAACAATGAGATGAGAGCCAGGTGGGCTTAGGCAAGGAAGGCTTCCTGGAGGAGGTATATTTTGAAAGAGAAGGGTGTGATGGGGCAACAGGTCAGGGCATCCATTCAGGAAGAGGGAGCAACTTAACTCAGGAGCAAACAAATGTGGGAGTGGGTGGCCCTGGAAGAAACTGGAGAGACGTTCATGTAGAAGGCAGGTGGCATTGATAGTTGATACAGACTTACAAATGGCCTCATAATACGAAAATGGTGCTTTGGAAAGATGTCTCTTGGCTATCAGATAGATTTAATACAAATTTACTTTGGTGAAGCCATATTCCAGAGAGCCCAGTATGCCATGCTGAGAAGTTCAGCTTGCTTTCCAGACCAGAGAACCCCAAGGGAGTGTTTTAAACAAGTGCACGATGCATGCAGATCTGTTTTTTAGAAAGGAGTTCCGCTGTGCAGAGTGAAAAGTGAACTCCCATGGTGAGTAGCTGGTGGTACTCTGAATTAGGAAGCTCTTATACCATTAAAAAAGAAAAAGAAAAAGCTCTTAACACTGTATTAGGTCAGTGAGACAGGGAACAGAGGTCACTATGAGGGACAACTCTGGGGCTAAATCATCAGGATCATTACAAAGAGAGAAAGGAGTTTGGAATGACTCCAGGAGTAACAACTTTATAGACCTGGTGAATAGTGGTAATTAGCTAATGGGAAACTGGAGAATAAGCAGGTACTGGTGGGGGGGAAATGCATTTCACTCGGAACATGTTTAGATGAAGATACTTAAAGGCCATCTGAGCAGAATTTATCCTATGGGCAGCTGAAAATAGGTTTGATGAGGTCACTTGTTTATTCTGTAGGGGACAGAAGACCATAAACTGAATGGGAGGAGAATTCAAATGAGGTGGGGGTGGGGGTTGGGAGTCCTTACATGTGAGTAAGGAATAAAGGGGGCAGAATCTAGGATTCGGTAGCAATGATGTGACTTTTGAAATTACCAAGTAATTTCACAGAACACGTTTTTGTTTGTCCCATGAGCAAGGCACTGTGCTGGGCACCAGGAGGGCAGGCAGCTCAAAAGATGATTGAAATAAATTCTCTGTCCATAATAGAATTTGGGGTATATAACAAATGTAGATGGCCTGTACCTCCACCTGTGTGCAGCTGAAGGAAGTGGGGAATGAGATGATCCTGTGGGGTCACCTAGGGACAAAGCAAAATAAGCCTGATCCTTCCTCCCATGTAGCTATCAGATCCTGACACACAGCAGGGCTTCCGTGGAAGCCAGTGCCTTGCTCAACCCTTCTTTCCTGTTGAGTTGGAGAGAACAGAGAAAAGTGAAGGATCCCAGGAAGAAGGGAAGGAGCAGAGGAATTGAGTCTGTAAGGGAAGAGGGTCATGATCTCCTGTGGCCTGGGAAAGAAAAGAGGTTCGAAATAGGTTCTGGATTAAGAGGAGCTCGCTGACCTTGGACCAGGAGCTCCCCAGCTTGTAACACCATGAGAGCAGGAATAAAAAGACCACAGAGGATATCCAGGGTGGGCAGTTTGTTACAAAGATTATTTGCCGTGGCAAGATGACAGCAGGACAAAGGAAGACCTTGCCACCCAAGGATCAGGAAAGTCAGAAAAGGGATGGTCCAGAAGAGAGAGGATCTAGAGTAGTTTCCAATGCTCAGCACAGGGTGTGCACTCCAAAATGTTTGCTCAACTAGCATGACGGAATGGGGAAGAGGCAAGTTGGTAAGGACATGCTGGATGCATAGACACGTCCATGGAGGAAGAGGAGAAAACAGGGAATGGAAGAGAGCCACTGGGGGGAGGAGTGAAGTGAGAGGTGCAAAAGGGGTTGGTAAAGACAGCATCTGAGCATGGAAGAAAACAGGTGGACAGTTTTTAGCCAGGGGTGGCACAAATAGAAGAGTGGTAAATAATCAGGTCCCCTAAACTAGTATCTGGCCCTGAAAAAGTAAGCAGAGCCTCAGTAACACGCAGGTACTGCTTTATTTGACCTGAGGCCAAATCAGCCACCTAAATAGCTAATGACCTGATAGAGGAGCATTTTGCAAATGCTAAACATACTGGAAAAATTCCAAGAATACTACTTCGGTTCAACTTGTGAGGCAGTTATGTATTATTCGTGGCATTCTTAAAAATACTGAGTGTTGAACACTCCTCGGCCCGTTGTCCGTATCTGTTCCCCAAAAAGTGTTTTGGGGGCTGTTCTGCTTGAAACCACATGACATTTGTAAGGATGGGGTAGATTGGTTACACTCCTCATTGGCTCTGCTCTCTCCTCTTTCATCTCTGGGCTGCTTTGTGTTTGCTTTGTAGGCCAGTGGAAGATATTCACCGAAGGAGAAGCTCAGATCAGCCAGATGTGTTCAAGTCGTGTGTGCAGAACAGAGCTTGAAGATTTGGTCAAGGTTTTGTACCTGGAGAGGTCTGAAAAGGGCCACTGTTAAACGATACAGATGGTGTTGGAGAGGGTGAAGCAAGAAAACTGAAGCTGCAGCTGGACTGCGGGCTTATTTTGCTTAAGTCACCAGTGCCCTAAAACCCCAAACTCAAATGCAGTTCATTATCCACGCCATGCACAGTATAACTTGCTCCTTTATGTGGAGTGGTGTGTCAGTCCTTAAACATCTCCTCCAAAGAGACTAGAAGAGTCTCGAATTATTTGTGGGAGGAAGCAGGATAGAACACCACAGCACTGCTCTAGTTTCTGGGAGAATCACATTTCTTTACAGGTTAAAGAGTAAACAAAAACCTAGGGTTTCTGTCTAGAAAGTCACTCCAGTGAAAGAAAAAGACAAGAATTTGCTTAGTAGGATTTGTGTAGTACAGAGAAAATATGTGTATGAAATTATACTCTTCGACTTTTAGGATGTCTTGTGTTTTTAAGAAAAAATTAATTCCCCCTCCACATCCACCCAGAGATGCATGTATACGCGCACACTCACGCACACATGCGCGCGCGCACACACACATACACCAGACACTAAACTGCAACCTTCCTTCTGAGGCAAAGCCGGCACAGGCTCTCCCCTCCTTGCCTGGCTCCCAGGTAGCTTGGAAGTTGTGGGTACCCAGGAGGAGAAAGAAGGAATTGTGAGCAAAAGGCTCTGCCCTTGGGTCAGTGGTGTGGTTGCCACCGTCACCAACTATGGTGGCAAGGTGAAGAATAAGAACACCGTCTCATGGCCACATTCACTTTGAAGCCCTAAATAACTTTTCCCTAGTGCTACACTTCTCTTTTTTCCCTGAGCCCGTGAGGCCCCCATAAAGAAGTTAGAACTGGGATAGAATCTTCTGAAACTGAGTCCACACAAGACAAAATAAATGTTGAAGAAAATGGTGGCTCAGGGTCCACAAGGCAACCTTCTGTGTTTTCAAGTCCATAGAAATCACTGACGAATAGCTCAATATTCATTCATTTTCTTGATGCCAGAGTCTGTAGTCCAAAACTTTAGGTTAAATTATTACATTCTAGAAGCTCCTTAAAAGGGCACGGTTCCTTCTTCTCCAGTTACAGGAGTTCATTTTGACTTTGCAAAAGGGCTCAGTCCCCCACAAGCTTCTGATTATTGGCTCTTCAGTTAGAAGAATTATTGCTCATTAGGGGAGGTGGACATTCTGGTTAGGATCTTTGTTCTAAACTTTGCTACCATTCTCATCTCATCCACCAAGCAGGGGTTTGAATCATGAATCCTAGAGAAGGCTGCTCCAAAAATGTCAATTTGCAGCTGGATACCAGAGTGGAACTTATCCATTCTGAGGCCTGGCTTTTAGAAATCATTTTTGTGGCAAAACCCTAAATTCTCCACCTGGCTCTCAAGTGGGCCTTCTAGATTCATCCCTTCTGAGAGGCATGAATGAACTCTAATGAGTACTCAGAAGTATTAAGGAAGCAGACATCCCATATTCCCACTCCATGACTGCAGGAAAGAGGAACAGTGTTTTCCTTACAGTAGTTGACACCAAGAGGGAAAAATGCAGAGGTCTTTATGGCAACCTGGCATAAAGGAATCTGTTCTCATAAGAGACGGGGGTGCCTCATGGCCAGGCCTTCAGGAGACAAGCCTCTTACCAACCCTTCCTACATAGTCTCTGTGGGAAAGGGAGGGAGGACACCCAGGGCTAAGAGGCCACAGAGCAGTATTGCAGAGGCTGCTTAGTAGCTGCTGCCTCCCTCCCAGAGGTGGCAGTATTTCCATAGTGTGGAAACAAGTGACTGGATCCTGAAGCAAAGTGGTGATTTCCCCTTCTGGATGACTCACCCCAAAGCCTTCCCACCCAGGTGTTCTCTGAAATCTCAACCATAAGGGAACACCCGGAGAGCTTCCCTAGATAGACTTCTGCCCCCAGGGGCTGGGACACACCTTTACAAAGTACTGTGGGAAGTAGGAGCTGGGGAGCTGTGCTAGGCCAACGGAGAAACCTTCCAGCGTTTGGTGTAGGCAGTAGGACATTAGGGAGAAGAGGCCGAGCCACCTGTACCTAGGAAAGGAATGGATGTGGTTCTTCTTGTATTTATTTGTATCATAAACACTTGGAACAACAAAGACCATAAGCACCATTTAGCAGTCGTAGCCATTTTCTAGTTAACTCGTGTAAACCAGAGTAACGTAACAGTATTAGCCTTTCGCTCTTCTCACAGGACAGGTACCTAAATAGGGTACTTATTTATGTAGTCGCTGTATTTCTGGATTTTTAAATTAATAAAAAAGTTAATTTTGAAAAATCATCTGCAGGAATGCCATGTGAGTGATTGTCTCTCTGGCTTGGTATTGACCTTGGACTGGGTAGTGAGTGATGGGTGGGCCTGACCGTTTTGCACGCAGCTCGACACCCTCTCTCTCCCACTGTAGCATCCTCTGGTAATAGTGGGGACGCTGGGGTCAGCACGCCAGCAGTTTTAATCCCAGCTCTGGGGGCGCCTGGGTGGCTTAGTGGCTCAGGTCATGATCCCGGGGTCCTGGGATCGAGTCCCGAATCAGGCTCCCCCCGGGGAGCCTGCTTCTCCCTGTACCTATGTCTCTGCCTTTCTCTATGTGTCTCTCATGGATAAATAAAATCTTTTTAAAAAATTAAAAATCTCAACTTTGTGCTTCCCAGTCATGTCAGTCTCCCCGTCTATAAAATGGGGATAATTATGGTACTATCTTTCACCTGCAATTGCACGGTGAGGCTTAGTTTAGCCAGCGCACATCCAGTGAGTAGCCTAAGTTCATTTATGACCGTGGATGAGTTCAAGAAGGGCATGGCATTGAAAATGGCCATTGATTTCTGGCATCCACTTTAGGCAAAGACATTTAAGGGACTGGGGACAGGGATCCCTGGGTGGCGCAGCGGTTTGGCACCTGCCTTTGGCCCGGGGCGCGATCCTGGAGACCCAGGATTGAATCCCACATCGGGCTCCCGGTGCATGGAGCCTGCTTCTCCCTCTGCCTCTCTTTCTCTCTCTCTGTGACTATCATAAATAAATAAAATTTTTTTTTTAAAAAAAGGGACTGGGGACAGAAAGCCACTGACTTGGGTTTCAGGAGGGCCTCACTTTCAGTCTGCTACTCCGTAGCAGAATTGTATAGGGAGCGTGTTAAGAGTTTTGCCATCTATGTTGATCCAAAGTAAGTTCCCTCAAACCCCTAATACCGATTATATGTGTGCTATCACAGAAACCAAGAGCGCTAAAATGTCAGATAATGGGACAGAAAAGTGTGCACTGGTGTGAGCCAACACAGAAGTCACTGGTGGTGACATGTTGGGGGACTGATGGGGGCAGAAGCCAGAAGTGAGTGGGGAGATGAGGAATTGGAGACAGAAGTTAGAGCCACTCTTTGGAGAAGCTTCATTATAGAGAGTAGAGAGATTACATGGAAGACGTAGCTGGAGGATTATGGGGTCAAAGGAAAGTTTTTGGGTTTTCTTTTTAGTTTTTATTTTAAAGATTTTATTTATTTATTCATGAGGAGCCATGCAAGCAGGCTCCATGCAGAGGGAGAAGCAGTCCCGATGTGGGACTGGATCCCAAACCCTGGGATCACTCCCTAAGTCAAAGGCAGACGCTCAACCGCTGAGCCACCCAGGCCTCTCTCGTTTTTGTTTTAAAGACTTATGTATTTATTTCAGAGAGAGGGAGGGAGTGTGTGTGTGTGCAAGCAGGGGGAGGGACAGAGAAAGGGGATAAGCAGACTCGCCCCTGAGCAGGGAGCCCAAGGCAGGGCTGTATCCCACAACCCTGAGATCAGGACCTGAGTGGAAACCAAGAGTCAGATGCTTAACTGACTGAGCCACCCAGGCACCCCTGGAAAGTTTTTGTTTTAAATATGGGAGATACTTGGCCATGTCTGAGCACTGAAGGGTGGGACCCTATAGAAAGAGAAAGATGAAAGGTAACAGGGAAAGGAGTATACCCTGGTGTGGGAGGTACATGAGAAGCCATTTCCCCGTGCTGAGCCTTGAAGTCCCCAATTCTTGACCTACAACCTGGACTGAATTTTGGCCGCTGGTTGCCAACCCCTTACTGTGCATTAGCTGTTACCCTTCATCTCTGTTAGCTTGTCCTGCCCCACCCTTATACCCAGCAGAGTTTCTTCTACAATGAAAGGCTCTAGATCCCATTACCTGACCTCCAGTGGGATAACCACATAGAACTCAGACCAGACACTCTGGCTCCCTCTGGCACTCTGCTCCCTATCCATTATCACCCACATTCCAAATTTCACTGAGCCCTAGCATTTTGATCTCCTAGATGTGGCCCATGTTTGCTGCTGTTTGCACATCTCTCCTTCTGCAGGATCTTTTCTTTGTAGTCTCCACTTCCAGGTGATTCCCAGGAAGTCCCAAAGGTCATCCCATGTAGGCTTAAGGACCAGTCCTGCCTACGACCACGTGGTACCCACCCTTTCCATTCCCTTCTTCCTCTGGCCTCCCTCTGTGATGGGCACTGCTGGAGAACATGGCCACCAAATGCTTCCATCACCACCCATCTTCTGACACTCACCACCATTGCCCGCTGTGACATGGCAGGCAGGGGCTCCTTCTGCAGGCCCAGATTTGCCAGCATGGTGGTGGCGCTCTGGGATCCTCAGTCATCTTCCCTGGTGGCACCTTATCCTGTGCTCCAGTGGAGAGAATGCCTCCTTCCCTACCGTGTTTGTTTGTTTTGTTTTGTTTTAAGATTTTATGTATTTATTCATGAGACACACACACACACACACACACTCACAGAGGCAAAGACACAAGCAGAGGGAGAAGCAGGTTCCATGCAGGGAACCTGATGTGGGACTCGATCCCGGGACTCCAGGATCATGCCCTAGGTCGAAGGCAGGCGCTAAACTGCTGAGCCACCCAGGGATCCCCCCTACCTGTGTTGTTAATTAATACTTTGCCTCCTTACGTGAAACCAATTTAACATATAGCTATTGGTGGTGTATTACGTGGACCAAGGCAGAGGTATTCTTGTGTCTCAGAGTCTCCTGGACTTCTGTATGGAAACAAATCCTTCATTCTCCACTTCCAGCCCTTTTGACCAGAGTGCAGAGACTGTGCTGAGTATAAGCCTCCAAGACAGACAGACATTCCGGTCTGTCCTCCTAATCCCTCTTCCTTATGATTCACATGTACAGCCTCTTTTCCCCACTGACTCCCTCAGGGGATCAGTCATGCAGATCGACTTTAGGAGGCCCACACCACCAGTCAGCCAAACAAGCTCAGATTCCTCTGAAACATCTATGTGGGAGACATGAGTCCTTAAATGCAGAGCTCCAGCTCCAGTACATGGTCTCCCAAATATTTCATACACATTTACAAAGTTGTGCCTTTGTATATGCTCTTCCCATGGGCTAGAATGTTTCTTCCCTCTCCTTCACCCAACAAACTCCCATTTATCCTTCAAGGCCCAGTGGAAATGTCACCTCCTCTGTGGAACCTTACCTGCTCCCTTCCTAGTTGACTACCATTTATCCATTCTCCCTATGTACTATATCCTCCCACCATGCCAACTCCATTCTCTTGGAACTTATTGTGTAGTAGAAAGTCCTTAGTACTAGGAAGTACTAAGAACAACTTAATACTTAGAAGTCCTTAATACTTATGTGCCTTTGCACACAGCTCCCTTTGCCTGAAATATTCATCCCCTGGTGTCTCTACTTAACACCTACTCATCTTTTAAAACTCATGTTGCTCATCTCAGACCTTGTCCACCTCTTTCAGGCATGGTTATTAGTTCCTTCCCCCGTGCTCCTAAACAACCAAAGCACTTAGCTCATGTCAGCCTCTGTAGTACAATCTAATGACATGCATGCTTTCTTGGCTAATCCTCAACCACAGCCCTGTGTGGTAGGTCCCATTACTAGCCCTTTTTTAGAGATGAGGACATTGAAAGCATTCACATTATATGCCATTACAGTGGACCCTTGAATATCTTGGGGGTTACAGGTTTCAGCCCCCAACATGGTAAAAAAATTTGCATATAATTTTTGACTCCCCACAAACTTAACTACTAACAGACTACTATTGACCAGAAGCCTTGCCAACAACATAGAGTTGATTAACTAATATTTTGTATGTTATATGTAGCAGATACTGGATTCTTACAATAAAGTTAAAGAAAAGGAAATATTATTAAGAAATGCACAAGGAAGAGAAAATACATTTACAGTACTGTACTGTGCAAAATTTTCATGTTTAAGTCGACCTGCTCAATTCAAACCTGTATTCTTTGAGGGTCAATCATGTGCATAAAAATGACATATTTGCCCAGCCCCAGTCTCCATGATTAGACTGGAGTGTTCTGAGAGGGCAGAGACCTACTGACCAGCCCTTTAGGCATTCAATAAATATTTGCCAAGTGCATGGTCAATCTAATAAGATTCTTTCTCTGATTGAGAAAGAAAGCAGTCCAGAGATTACTATATCCAGGGGCTAGGCAGCCCTTAGAACAGCTTTTCTGTCAACCTCTCTTAGGAAAAACTAATAAAATCCTGGTTAACAAATAGAAATGAAAAAGTGCTTGTTTGCCTCACAAAATGATTTACCATAAGGCATCTTCTAAAATAACTCACAGATACCAGATTTACGTAGCGACTTTCTTTTGCAGTGCTTAAAGCAAGATGTCCACATTTGTGGCATAGGCCTCACAGCTGTGAAGGATTCTTGGTAAGACTTCAATATCGTGTATGACAAGTAGTAGCTATATTTCTGTATAGACTATCTGTGTTGTAATATTTGGAATAGCTGTAGTGCATATTACAATACTTATATCTCTATCCATGTGCATGTGTGAGCATGTGTGTGTGTGAATAATTAGACTCTGACATGGTGTGTTGTTGTGCCCAAGATTGCGAATCCCAGAAACCACCAAGGAGCCGACACCAATGCAAGCGCATGAGGGTTTATTAGCAAGCTCGAGCTTGGGCTCAAGTATACTCCATAGAGTATACGGAGCAGGGACTTGGACCCCGAAATGGGTTACAGCTGTTTTTTTGTTTTGTTTTGTTTTGTTTTTATAGGCTGGTCTAGGGGATTTTCAGAAGGGGTGGAGGAATTTCTCAAGTTCTGTTTACATTCTGATATGGGGCTTTCAAGGGCATTGCGCTCTGTTCTCATTCTTATATGAGACTTTCTACCACGGGCGTGGGCTCTGTTGTCTTTCTGATATGGGATTACCTGCCGAGGACATTGAGGACATTCTGCAGTTTTTCCCATAAAGTTCAGCTCTTATTCACAGGGGCCTAAGATGGC